CAGTGAGAAATCCACAGCAGCATACAAATGTACACACAAAAGCTTTTTTCCCATGATAAACGAATATGGTACATGCGGTGAGGATTACTGTCACGTTGGAGATTTTAATATTTAGATCAAACTAGGCATTTTATTCAGCAATATTTTTAAAATTTAAATAAGAATAAAATAATATGTATAATATAAAATAAAATGTATCATATATGAAAACCAGGCAATAGGTTTAATTGAAGTGTGTGGTACTATAATAAACAATTATACTTATTTTAATATTCTTTACTACTGAATTAGTTGTTGCTTTTAACATTTTTTGAAAACATAGTTACAGGTTGCGTCCCTTGAACTTGTTTTTAATGTGAAAACGAATTTGTTTCCTTCTAATCTATTGTATTGATTCAGGGGTCTCCAAACTTTTCAGCCCGAGGGCCGCATTAACTATTAAACATCAGCTCGGGGGCCAGAGTTTCTTTAAGGCATCTCGTCAAGGTCGTGGCGCCCCCCCCCCCCCCCCTCGAAGAACGTTTACCGCCCCTCCCACCCCCAACGAAATATAATTTATCTAGAAATATATACAAATTTCAAGTGTCAACCCCCCCCCCCCCCACCCGAGGTCCACGTTTGTTCTCAAATTGTTCTTCACGTATTTCATTCTTGAAAATGTTTGTTCACACAGGTATGTTGTTCGAAAATTTGAAAGGTACTTTGATGCAAAAGTTTTAATATTAGGAAAGTCTTCCTTGTGCAAAAACGTATGAAAACCCATCCGCCCTTCTTTGAACGTGTCTCTAAGGAAGTCATTTTCTTGCAATTCAATGACCTCCAGCTGCTGTTCATCTTTGCAACTGGCCACATTTGCTTCAAATGGGCTTTGAAACAGTCTCACTTCTTCTGTCTTTGAATACAAGTCCGAAAACCGCTACTGAAACTGCAGCTGGTGGTCTTTAATGATCTCGTATGTAAATGACGTGGGTAACTCAGTGGTTGCTTCAGCCGTAAAGACCTTGCACTGCTGAGAGTGTGTCAAGTTGTTAGCCTGTACTTGTTCCAAAAACATGACAAGTTTGTATCTAAAGGCCTTTAGGTGAGTGTATAGATCAGAAACTAGATTTCACTTTCTTGCCGTTTTAGTTTCAGAAAATTTTAATGACTAGTTATGTCTGCAGCAGAGGCCAATTTCTATACGCACTCTTCATCAGACAATAATGGCTGTGACTTGCCTTTACTATCAGGAAGTCACCTATTTCTTTTCTTAGATACTCTGCTCAGAATTTTCTCGCAAAATTAGCAATCTTACTGATGTGAAATATGGTAAATCTTGCGATTTTGTCTTTGTCTCTGAACTATCTATTGTTAGATATCCTCTTCGGTAACAGTGTCATACATTATATGTAGGGAAGCCAGCTCTTCTGTTACGTTCAGGTCTTCATCCACATCTCTAATGAACACAAAAAGTTGAGGTGGAACAGCTGCCCAGCGACTCATCCATTGCAATTGAAAAATGGCGAAACTTGCTTGAATTTTTCGCTATTTGAGTCGCAATGTTTTCACCAAAGTATGCAACACGGCGAGTAATTGTATTTGCACACAAAGCTACATTTTCAAATAGTTTTGAATTTTCTGTGCAAAGCTGCTCAGCCATCTCCAACAAACATTTATTCAGTGGACAAAAAGATCGTCGCGGGCCGGATAAAATGACCTCGCGGGCCGCATCCGGCCCGCGGGCCGTAGTTTGGAGACCCCTGGATTGATCATAGAAAATTACAGTGAAATACATAGAGTCTAGATCTGTTTCTTTACATATGGAGGGTATTGTTTCATCAATCACCCATATATATATATATATATATATATATATATATATATATATATATATATATATATATATATATATATACACACTGCAGCCATTTTCCATTATTAAACTTGCTCTTCATGGTTGCATAAATAAACCTGTTTATACTATATTGTGTTGCTAAACAATACATATGATAGAGGTGCTACACTCTTTGAGCAGCTGGGCACATACGATCCTATACCAAAAATGTTCAATGTCCCCTAGACATTGAGAGAATAAACTTTCATCTTTCTGATGGTGTAGCCACGAGGAAGCTTGTGGAAAAACTGTTATGGTTGAGTGGTTTACTATCAATGCTTCCAGTCAGTTTTCTGACAGCATTTAGAAAGAGGAGGAAATCGGAGACTGCATCTAGTAGTAAACAGAATTCTGATGGAAAAAATAAAACAACTCCCCAATAAATTGTTTGCTTGATTTAAAAAAAAAAAAAAAAATTTTCAATAAATATATCTTTTAAAAATCTACTGTGAAACATCCATTTTGAGATCCATGCGGAATATAACCCTCTTTGACTACCCCCCTGCTATTGTCAATGGTTTGTGCGATTCTCCCTCCCCCCACTGGATTAGTCCAAATGTCCAAGTTCTCACTCGCCTAATGGAAAAAAAACGACTAAAGGGAGGTAGCCACAAATTAGAGCATCGCAGATTAAAAAAAACCGGAAATACTCCACATAGGTGTCGAATCTTTACGTTTTAAATAATTATATACAATACCAGTCCAGTACAAGGGTAGTGATTTAATGTTAATGTATATGCATCACAATCCGACTCAATTACAAAAAAAAAAAAAAACCATTCAATTAAAACCAAAAGCATACTCTTGTTGGACTAATTTGTTTATTTGTAGTGAACAGTTGCATGTTGCATATATCCTGCATTAATTTACACAGAGCTTAAATTCACTGCATAAAAATGTAAGAATACATAAACATTAAAACACAGTAATACAAGTCCTTGTAGTTTAATAGTACCATAATTTACAGATAACACATTGCGACAATGCATAAATTACAAAAAATTTCATGCTATACATACAAGATTTTTAGAATATATTAATTTAAGCTACCAAGTTAACCTCTTAAAAGCAAACATCTTTCATATGCCATAGGGAAATCTATCATTGTAACCATAATGTTATACTTCCAATATCAATCATGTTTTATATAAATATGGAACACATTTTGACAGAATTCAGAAATTTCTATTTAACACAAATTGTTTTGTTTTTACATTGAAGATCATCTTCATTTTATATCTAGAATATAAAGATCATCAAATATTATATAACAAAAGAATAACTTTATGTGACAAAATATTATATTATTATGCATTAAAAAAGTGTGACAGAAATACACAAACGTAAGTATTTAATTACCTAGGTCAAAAAGTTAACAAGGTAAATTAAGGTGAAACAAAAGCATTTTAGAATATTAACTTTATTATTTTGAAGTTAAAGGGTTTGGTAAATGTACAAAAAATATTGGATTTTGAAATCTTTAAAATAAAATTTAATAGCCAAGAAAAAATGTAATGTTCAAATTTTAGAAATTAGAAAATACCACTGTTAAAAAAATTGTCTAACTAATTTGGTTTGAAAGTAAAGGAAAATAATTAACACTCATCATATTGGCAGTGCTATGTTTAGAAAGTTCATCAGCAGAAAATAAGTCTTTAAATATTACACAATTAATTGCAATATTTGATTAAAAGAAACATTGCATTCTGGTAAAAAAAAAATTTTTTTGAAATGACATAGGGCCTACTTAGTGTATAAGAAAGCTGTTTTCAAAATTAGATTTCATAAAACGGACACTTGCTAATGAATGTAAATATAAAAAAAAAAAAACAATTTAAAATGAGGAACTACTGAAAACATGTCTATAAACAAACAAGGAACACGACCGAAGAAAACAAAACAATACAAAGAATAACCATTAAAGAGCAGGCTGAAAAATTAAAACAAAGCAGAGAAATTTAGTTTTGAAAAGTTATATACTCAGTTACCCTTTGCAGTATTTGTTTTTTTAAATGCTGCGCTTTCAATACATGTTTAATAAATTTGTACATATATTATAAACATTTTGTGTTGAGTATTCTTTTGTATATTCATGTCACTGAAACATCTTAAAGGATCAGTTAAAAATAAAAGTATGAAAAACTAATTAAACATTTAATAATTGTTTTAAAATAAAATAAATGAACTGACCGCTTAACATCAATTGTTTCTTAAATAGTACAAATTTAAGTATATATTGAAATAAGCCCTTTATGGGATTATCAACATAAAACAAATAATTTGAGACAACAATTTGATCACCACTGACAGAATGACTGAACAATTTTAACACCATTGACAGAATAACCAAATAATTTTAACACCATTGACAGAATGACTGAACAACTTTAACACCACTGACAGAATGACTAAACAATTTTAACATGACTGACAGAATGACCAAACAATTTTAACACCATTGACAGAATGACCAAATAATTTTAACACCACCAACATAGAATGACCAAATAATTATAACACTACTTACATAGGATAACCAAACAATTTTAACACTACTTACATAGGATAACCAAATAATTTTAACACCACTAACACAGAATGACCAAACAGTTTTAACACTACTTACATAGAATGACCAAACAGTTTAACACTACTTACATAGAATGACCAAACAGTTTAACACTACTTACATAGAATGACCAAACAGTTTTAACACTACTTACATAGAATGACCAAACAGTTTAACACTACTTACATAGAATGACCAAACAGTTTTAACACTACTTACATAGAATGACCAAACAGTTTTAACACTACTTACATAAAATGACCACCTTTGTTCAATGCCTCCAATCACAGCTGACTTGACCATAAATAGTTATAGAATATATATGAGATATTATGTACCAAGTTCTATGTACAAATGTATAGTACAAGTGTATATTGTATAAACTTACATGTGTATAGCAAAAAATTTCACAAGGCAAATGGTCATTACAACACCTCGGTTACACTTGCGACAAGTATGGTATACATGTCTAGGGAAAATGTTAATGTTATATGAAAACATTTTTTCTGTGGAACATGTATACTAACTTGCTGCAAGTTTTTTTCTAGGCATGTATAGTATACATGTAGCAAGTGTGAACGCGGTGTAAGACATTGTGTTGTGTGGGTGAATACTGTCAACAAACCTTTAAAGAAAAATCAACAAATTAATTTGACTGATAGAAATACTTGCAGAGAACTCCAATGAAAGGATTGCACATAGCTTGTGTAAGATAGTACTACAACAGACATCCTTGTGCTTGAAAACGCATTTTGATGTGGATTAATCAATTTTTAAAAATGTATTCTTGACCGTAATTTATTTAAAAATTATTAAGTCGCATGTTTTTTTAAATACCTCACATTGTCTATATAAGTTCCTGATTTCAAAGACTGCATGACTGGACAATTTTTAAAAAATTTAACCAATTTTAAATCAAATAATTTAATAAATGTATTTCCAATTTTCAAATACACAACAAAAAGTTGTTTTTTTTTACAATGGTTATAAAAATTACAGCTTCTAAATTTGACAGAAATACTTGTACCAAAAAATATTTCAAAACAAAACAAAGCAAACTATCATCATCTACATTCTACTAGGAAAGGAAAAACTATAAATGAAACATCTAAAGGAATCTAATAATGGTGAAAGGTAATCTAAAGTTGATTCAAGCTTTCTTCTTAAACAATCGGCATTGTATTTGAGAGAAGCTGCCTCAACATGACCTCGTAAAAATGTGATTTTTTTTTTTTACAGTTTTTAAAAATTTAATCTACATAATTTATTAAAGGTAGAAGAAGTATTATATGCACATACTTGCATAGTTTAAGTTGTGTATGAATAATATTTATTTTTAAAAAAATTATATAAAGAAATGGAAGTGTCTTAATGTTACATTTTAAAATTTTTACTACCAATGCTAATGTAAATTAAAAGTTAATATCATAATTTGTGTACTTGTGGGAAATGAAACTAGAAGATTATTTTAATGACAAAATATTTATGAGGTTGCACTGGTTGAATGTTATTAAACTGCATTTAAAATTTATTCAATGTTGTGAGTCTAAACAAACAAGTTTTTAAGGTCCTGTAATTGGTTAAGATATTGACACTCTGGAACTTTTAAGTTTGTTCATGATTTTGAGGTCCTCAAAGTTTCATTGTAGTTTAATTTGATGCGCAAAAGATTAAAGTATTTTTTTTTTAAATTTCTTTATTGTTACTGTGATTTTTATTCTTTGTCTTATGTTTTCCAAATGCTTTTTTTTTAACTTAATATTGAATTTAATGTTGAATTCATCGGGTACACTATTTATTTTAATAAAAACTAAACATGTTATATTTTGAAAACTTAATCACAAATTACCCATTGACAAGGTAAACAATGTTTTAATACTGTATAGTGAATGTGTCAGGATGACATTGGATTCAATACTAAAAGAAAAGTTTGACCAGTTGTATTGTTATACTGAATTATTATCTAGTACAAACTTTTGAAAACAAACTAGACCACTAATTTTCAAATATTCTGAGGAGTTAAAATGTAACTCTTCAAGGTTTAGAAACTTTTGTTAAGAACTGTAGCCTTTATCAGTAAAAAATTAAGTTTTCAAAATTTGGCATTTTTATTTTAATAAAATTTATGCTCATTAAATAATTAATTAACAGAGAACAAAAAATTTGAAGTTATTGAGTATTAAACTGAAGTGATAACATTTTTATTTTATAAATAAATTAATAATTTTTTTAATTTAACACCGTTCCATAAATAATTTTTCTTATGATAAAAATTAGGGCTATTTTAGAAGTTTATTGTAGAAATCATTTTAATATTGAATCTTGTAGTTCTTAGGCGGTAAACTATCTTGGAAGATAAATATTGTTCAAAGTTTTAAAGTTAAAAAATGGAGAGGTTCAACTAAAAGATATATTTATAGTGAGCAAAATACAAATTAATTTACAGGAGATTTGATGCTTCGTATGTAAGTGTCTTTGTTAAACTACTTAAAGCAAAACTGAGCCAACTGATGCAGGTACGAAAATGCCACTTGTTAAGTCTGTCTAAACAAGAATGTCTGTCTCAGTGACATCCTCTAATACCATGCGGTAATCTTGTGGAGGTACTGGTTCAACCGGGCTAAAATCAGAGTTGTAGCCGCTGGACGTGTTTGAGCCGAACCGGCTGGGTCCCATTCCATTTCTTGTTTTAGCTAACCGTGTTTTAACTGCATCTAATGATGGCTGGCTGCTTCCAGGGGCGGCGCCGTCGTTTGATGGATTAGGTGGTTCCGCTGAAGATGCTGGGCGGGGTAGCTGATATTTGGCGAAGGGGTTCGTTAGCGGTGACAGTGGGGTGGTGAGAGAAGGGGGGCGACTAGTTTTCAGCTCGGCAGCAGGTCTGGCACCTGCGGGTTTAGAGTTTCCTTGGTAACGGGGCAAGCCGCTGTCAGGCGAGAGAGGTTTATGTTTCTGGGAGCTGACGCCGCTGTTGGAAACAGGGGCGGTGGAGCTGTAGCCCAGGTTGCTGACTGCCACGCCGCTGGGGGTGAACTCCCCTGTTTCTCTCTGGGCTTTCTCAGTCGGTTTGGCTCCGGCACTGCCTGACAATGGCGAGCGGAGATAACGAGGGAGCTTGGTGTCCTTGACGCTTGAGCTTGGGAGGTTGACGTAGGCAGGTGACGTTGGCGCAGCATCCACATCCTCTGGCGCGGCAGATTTTTTTTCTTGAAGAGAAACTGGGACTAGGTAGTCGTCTGCGTCAACACCCCCAATGGCGGTGCCCTCGTAGCTGCTGCTGTGGCCGCTGTCGTTGTCCTCCTGGCTGTGTACCTCAGCAACAATGTGAACCTGCCAGAGAATTGTCAAAGTTACAGACCAATGCAAAAAGCCAAATTATGTGTGTGCTATTTATTAATATGAAAAAATATTTAAAATTATGCTCTGTGAAAAAGGTGTACAACTGAGGTATATACATTCATTATTAACAATATTGATGGATTTGTGTGGGCCCAGGTACCTTTTTGTTTTAAATAAAGAGTTCTTTTTAAGCTGTCAGAGATATTATTCATAATTCTTATTGAAACAGTTGGGTAGCAATCATCATTAGCCAATTGGTAACGGAAAGAAAAAAAAAGAAAAAAATATGTCATTCTAAAAAAAATTTCTTTAGTTTTCTAATCCTGTTCTTTTCAGTTGGAGATAAAACTATTATTAATTGTAATGTTGGTTTACAAAACTTAAACAGTAAAACTTATTTTATTTATTTATGTGTTGGATTCAACTTTAATTCATTTAATAAAACAAGTTATGTTTTATTTTAATTATTAGAAAAGAAATATCTTAAATTTCAGGTTAAAAACTATAAAAAAAAACTTTATTTAATGAACAAAAACCTTTAATTTAAAAACTTATCCATTATTATTTTGATCCTTTGTAAGACTTATATAATATGCTGGTTGACATAAATTGTATATAATGTTGAATTTAATAATATCTTGCACGACTTAAATTGTTTACTTTATGATGATTGTAATATCATGCATAATTTAAAAGGCCAGAAATTAAGAGTTTTTATAAACACCTAGACCTTTACCTGTAGCTCTGAGGCTGGTGTAAAGCCTGGTGCTATGGTATCTGGTACAGAGAGTCTCCTGGCCTCTTTATTCAAGGGCTCTAACTCCACCTCATCCGCCTGTTCGTCCTTCCACCTCTTCAAGTTTATGTAACGAGGTGGCTTGCTTTCAGTTTCCTAAAGAAGGAAAAAACAATTTGCTTAAAAACAAAAACAATTCCATCAACATTGCAACAGTGTGTGAGTTGAGTTATGAACAGTATTTTTAAAACATGTTAATGATTAAAGTTTTGATAGGGAGTCACTACTGTAAGCAGGATAGTCAATGATGACATGTTATCATTATAATAGAGCTGGGCATTCTGTGTACAAAGATCCCAGCTGGGTAATAAAATCTTTATCCCCAACCCCTAAAACAACAGTGTTGAGACTGTGAGAGGGTTGAACCACTTGATTCACTACCATGTGAGAATACCACTACCATGTGAGAATACCACTACCATAAGCAGTCATTATGCCATTACAAGTCTAGACGATACAGGTAACAATGAAACAGTATTGTCAAAAAAAAATCACTTCCTCAATTTGTATAAAATCAAAGCAAAAAATATTTTTTTTAGCTAAATTAAATAGTTGTAACAAACCTCAGTGAATTTAGTTTCAGTCGAGGGTTTGTCCTTCATGTTGAGGTAACTGGGATGGAGGGTGGGTGACATCTTGAGGTACCCGTCACTGTCTGTAGCAATGTTGGGCTCACTAGATTCACATTCCTCGTCACTCAGCATTTTGATGTATGGTGATGACAGATCCAAATAATACTGTGGGCAGACAATAGATTTTTGTTTTAATATTTCCAAGTCTCAGGTTCAAAGATATAATAAATTTGAGACACTGAAGATTTGAATAGTGATAAAAAAAATTTTAAGTGGAGCAGATCCATCATTTAGGTGAAAAAGAGGAATTGTCAATTGACTTAATAAAACAGTCTCTAATTAATGTACTATTAACAACTGTTTAATTATGACTTCTAATAAACTGTCACTTATTAACATATTATTAATAATTGTTTATTGGGGACTATTCTGCATTAGTTAGGGACTTTTTTCCATTCCTTTAACAAAATATACACAGAAGTTTGTTTTTCCAGAATATAGATAAATATTGAGGATAAATATTAAACTAATAAACTCAGATTACACATTAAACCATAACACTAATTTCACCTTAACTAAATTGTCTCATAAATATTTATTCATTTATTTATTCATTCATTTATTTATTCAATAACGGTAGCAACAGCAACACCAAACCATAATGCTAACCTAACCCTAACTACACTGCCTGTTCAAACTTTCCCTCACCTGTTTAACGTTGGCTTCCAGGAAATCCCCAATGGCGGCTACAAGTTGTGAGAAGGTGGGTCTGTCCTCTGGCTCCACCTTCCATGTCTGCAGCATAACTTTGTACCTGAACACATTTTTTAAAGGGGTCAATTTTGAAACTGAGGTGGCAGGACAAAGTGCCGAACATAGAATTATGGAGAAATCCAAGGCAGGAGCCCATGACTTTGTAAATAAGAAGGAGGAAGTGGACTGGTGGGACACACGCTACGAAAGGCTCACTCAAATGTGACACGCCAAGCGCTTGAGGGAAACCCCAGGAAAAGCGGAAGAGGGGGCGCCCAAGATAGATTTGGAGGTGGAGTCTTCTCGAAGAACTGAAGCCAACAGGAATGTCTTGGGAGACGGTAAAATTAATAGCCCAGGATCGGACGAAATGGAAGGAAATGGTGGAGGCCCTATGTTTCATAAGGAGCAAAGAGGACTAAGTCAAGTCACATAGTAAAAAATATGAGGTGGAGAAATTACATAACCCTATACAAAGGGAACAAAAAGGCAGATGGGTATAGTGTTGAATACACTATCCCTTCATATGCAAATGTCATTGAAATAGGTGAACTCTACTTCATCTGACTCATGAACTGCTAGGTTCAAAGTAATTACACTATCTTACAGAAAAGATTTGTATTATTTTAAAGAAAAGTTTAGGAATATCTCTAAGAGATATTGGAAACTCATTCAAAGAAACTGGAATAAAGTTCATTCCAAGCTCAAACACTATGCGTGTCTGTCTAGGATAATTTAATATTTAAGCACCTCGAATTTAGTTTAAAAAAAATAAATTGGGGTTTGATATAATTCTGATCAACTTCGCTCCAATACAATTTTATCAGTCTGAATAGTAGTAATACATGCAGCAACATTATGAATTTGTAATGACTAGCAGCAACACTATGAGTTACTAATGAAAACGATATGAATCTAGTTGCTTACAGCTCTTCACTGGCATAGGGAGGTTTCTCCATCCTGTAGCCGGACTTGAGCAGACCAATAAACTTCTCATTGATCTCAACACCTGGGTAGGGGTTGCCACCTGAGGGGTAAACAATGGTTGTAAGGGTTGCCAAATGAGAGAGTAATGAATGAATTTAAAAATGGTTGTAAGGGTTGCCAAATGAGAGAGTATTAAATGAATTAAAAAATGGTTGTAAGGGTTGCCAAATGAGAGAGTATTAAATGAATTAAAAAATGGTTGTAAGGGTTGCCAAATGAAAGACTATTAAATGAATTAAAAAATGGTTGTAAGGGTTGCCAAATGAGAGAGTAATGAATGAATTTAAAAATGGTTGTAAGGGTTGACTAATGAGAGAGTAATGAATGAATTTAAAAATGGTTGTAAGGGTTGACTAATGAGAGTAATGAATGAATTTAAAAATGGTTGTAAGGGTTGACTAATGAGAGAGTAATGAATGAATTTAAAAATGGTTGTTAGGGTTGACTAATGAGAGTAATGAATGAATTTAAAAATGGTTGTAAGGGTTGACTAATGAGAGAGTAATGAATGAATTTAAAAATGGTTGTAAGGGTTGACTAATGAGAGAGTAATGAATGAATTTAAAAATGGTTGTAAGGGTTGACTAATGAGAGAGTAATGAATGAATTTAAAAATGGTTGTAAGGGTTGACTAATGAGAGAGTAATGAATGAATTTAAAAATGGTTGTTAGGGTTGACTAATGAGAGTAATGAATGAATTTAAAAATGGTTGTAAGGGTTGACTAATGAGAGAGTAATGAATGAATTTAAAAATGGTTGTTAGGGTTGACTAATGAGAGTAATGAATGAATTTAAAAATGGTTGTAAGGGTTGACTAATGAGAGAGTAATGAATGAATTTAAAAATGGTTGTTAGGGTTGACTAATGAGAGTAATGAATGAATTTAAAAATGGTTGTAAGGGTTGACTAATGAGAGAGTAATGAATGAATTTAAAAATGGTTGTTAGGGTTGACTAATGAGAGAGTAATGAATGAATTTAAAAATGGTTGTAAGGGTTGACTAATGAGAGTAATGAATGAATTTAAAAATGGTTGTAAGGGTTGACTAATGAGAGAGTAATGAATGAATTTAAAAATGGTTGTTAGGGTTGACTAATGAGAGTAATGAATGAATTTAAAAATGGTTGTAAGGGTTGACTAATGAGAGAGTAATGAATGAATTTAAAAATGGTTGTTAGGGTTGACTAATGAGAGAGTAATGAATGAATTTAAAAATGGTTGTAAGGGTTGACTAATGAGAGTAATGAATGAATTTAAAAATGGTTGTAAGGGTTGACTAATGAGAGAGTAATGAATGAATTTAAAAATGGTTGTTAGGGTTGACTAATGAGAGTAATGAATGAATTTAAAAATGGTTGTAAGGGTTGACTAATGAGAGAGTAATGAATGAATTTAAAAATGGTTGTTAGGGTTGACTAATGAGAGTAATGAATGAATTTAAAAATGGTTGTAAGGGTTGACTAATGAGAGAGTAATGAATGAATTTAAAAATGGTTGTTAGGGTTGACTAATGAGAGAGTAATGAATGAATTTAAAAATGGTTGTAAGGGTTGACTAATGAGAGTAATGAATGAATTTAAAAATGGTTGTAAGGGTTGACTAATGAGAGAGTAATGAATGAATTTAAAAATGGTTGTTAGGGTTGACTAATGAGAGTAATGAATGAATTTAAAAATGGTTGTAAGGGTTGACTAATGAGAGAGTAATGAATGAATTTAAAAATGGTTGTAAGGGTTGACTAATGAGAGAGTAATGAATGAATTTAAAAATGGTTGTAAGGGTTGCCAAATGAGAGAGTATTAAATGAATTAAAAAATGGTTGTAAGGGTTGCCAAATGAGAGAGTATTAAATGAATTAAAAAATGGTTGTAAAGGTTGCCAAATGAGCGAGTATTAAATGAATTAAAAAATGGTTGTAAGGGTTGCCAAATGAGAGAGTATTAAATGAATTAAAAAATGGTTGTAAGGGTTGCCAAATGAAAGACTATTAAATGAATTAAAAAATGGTTGTAAGGGTTGCCAAATGAAAGGGTAACAAATGCGTTTTTTTTCAAGCGCTTAGGACCTCTTTATGTAGAAAATAATTCTCATTAAAATTCTAGTTTAAAATATATTATGACTAGATATTCTAATAATTAATACTTTATTCTGTATTTTTAAAAGTACATAACTAAATATTAAAAAATACCACTAACAAAGAGATCTGTTTGCTCATGCAAACTTAAGAAAAATTAATTAACTTACCTAATGTGAAGAGCTCCCATAATAAAATACCATATGACCACCTGTAATTAGAAAGTAATATAGTATTTTCAAATTCAAAATACATGTCTACCTACTTACAAACTAATAGAACATGTGAAAATCTGAACGTTAGCTTTAACTACAACATGAAGCCACCTATAATTACACAATAGTATAATATTTTCACATCTAAATCACATAACTACACATGAACTAACAAAAAACAGGTGAAGTTAACTACAGCTTTGAATATAAAATATTTTTTTCAAACAGCTTAGCATTATACAATATCATACATCATATGCTACACTACAAAAACAAACACAGTAAATCATACAACTTTCTATTAAAAAACAAAGATAAATATTTCTATGAAAAAAAAACAACCCAACTTACACATCACTCTTTGTTGTGTAGATTCTGTGAGTAAAAGACTCTAACGCCATCCATTTGACAGGCACTGGGCCCTGAAAAAAATTTTTGTTTATAATTACAGACTTGTCAAAAAAAGAATAAAAAGAATAAGTTAAGTACTAAATGACTGACGCTGAATTCTAAAAAAAATTATGTCTACTATTATTGACTATTCAAAAAATAGAAATTGAAAATTAAGTACGTAAAATACAAAACTATAATTACGACTAAAAAGGATAAGGTGTTACAAAAAAAAAAGTGAAGAATTAAATGTATTTAATTAACTAACAAAGCCACTTACATCTCCCTTCTTGTGATACTCAACATCCTTGTACAAGTCTTTAGCCAATCCAAAGTCACAAATTTTGACAACATTGTCCTCAGCCAGTAACACATTACGAGCGGCCAAGTCACGATGAATGTACTGTATAAAAAACAAAGAACAGTGACATAAAAAATAAGACATTTCATGATGAATGTACTGTATGAAAAACAAAAAGTTATTTGAAATAAGACATTTCATGTTGAATTTACTGTATTAAAAAAAGTTAAATTAGATGAAAAATGATTTAGTCACAGTGATTGTTCTGAATGAAAAATCAACATATTATTGTATGAAATTTAAAATGGTTACTTTACAATGTACAACAGCTTATAAATATTAATACAGCCATCATAATTTTAGTTAGTGTCAGTTATATTAATTTAGAATAAGTGTGAATTGCTTGTGATAACTTTTGAGATAGTGGTTTAAAAAGATCAATCTTTATTGTAGAATACAGTCTAAAAATTACAAGGTGCTAACAGTATCACCCATGATCTTGTAATTGTATTACAAAGTGTACTAGAAAGTACAGGCAGTAGGTTGTAGGTGGTTAAGTAGGTAGGTGTGCAGTGTAGACTTATTTATGGCACAAGAAAATCAAAACACCACTGATCCTCACTAACCTTCTTAGAAGCAAGATACTCCATTCCCCTGGCAACCTGATATGCCCAGCAAAATAAATTTTTGGTGGTCAGGTTTGGCCCTAAAACATCGGCACTCCCCATAGGTCCCCCAGCCTTGTTTACATAGTAGGGATCTTTTTTATCAGCCCCTGCAGCTATCTGTCTCTTGGCAAAGGCAATGGGGTCCTCAGTGTCTTCCATGGTGTCTTGGAAATGTGATTTGTTGTTGATCAAGTAACTTCTGAGGTTTCCAAAATGACAATACTCTACAATGACATATAACTCTCCTGAAAAAAAAACATAAATGTTATGTTATAAATTTTGAAAAGCCTTAAGAGTTTTGGTTTTTAAATATTAAAATAAGGCTAAATGTTTTTTAAAAATTTAACATGCTGTTGTTAACATATACTTTAAAAAAATTACTTATTAATAATTGTTTAAAAATTTGTATTTATAGTTAAAATTATTTTTGATTTCAAACTTTTCCCAATGTGAACTGTAGACCTTGAGACACGCTACAATAGGGAGATTATCAACTCACCAAATCTGATGTCTTTGGTCACAGCGCCAAGCAAATTGAGGATATTCAAATGCTGGCCAACGTGAATGAGAATTTTCAACTCTGACAGAAGAGCCATCATCTGCTCTTTGTCCGTACAATCTGAAAATGAGTTCAAAGTTCAATAGTTACGAAGAAGGTAATTTAATGGGTGCAAATTTACCACAGTACATCTTTAATTTAGTGTATTAATGTCAATATTTGATTTCTATCAAATAATATCTGGTGTAGTAAACCATAAATAGATGTACTAAATATTTAAAAAGATACAGAATACTATGAGAAAAACAGATTTGTCAAAAAGTTGTATTCAACCAAACAAAATGTGTAAAACTGTTATGATCACAACAAATATGTTCTAACAAAAAAATGGATGATAATATAACATGAAAAGACATTTTTTTCAACAAACCTTTGACCATTTTTACGGCTACAACTGTGACGTCTTCACCAGCGTGTATACCAATGGCCTCGGCTTTCATCACTCGGCCAAAAGCACCCTGACCAAGAATCATTCCTGGAATTTAAAAAAACATTTTTTTTTGTAAAACTGTAAGTAGTTCTGCACATAAGATTACAAACAGGTACAAAAAATGTATAAGCTTTCAATAAAGTATAAGTCAAAGATACTAAATATTAAAAGATAAAATATTAGTTTGAAAGTGCAATCAATGACTAAATTTCAAAATAAGCCTTACATTTTTTTAAATGCAAGAATTTAAATAAAGTTAAATCAAGTTAAGCTAAGCCCCATTGGCTTTAGGAAAACGCTTAAATATACATTATCTTATATATATTGCAAAAGATGTAGAATAAAATAAGTAAACTTATGTACCTAATCTTAGACGATCTTTAGGGAACTCCCATTTAGGATCATAAGGCAAACAACCTGTTTGCTCATCAACAGGAAGGTCAGGGTTATAATAGCCAGTTGGTTGTATAAGATAGTTCTCCAGTTCTTTGTGCTGTGAAATAAATTTTGTTTGCTTTTACTCCTATTCAATCTAATACAGTTTTTCTCTTTAATATATGATCCAATATAATGTTTCATATAATGATCCAAAATATGTTTCACAATAACAATAGCTTGAAAATTATGTTTCTATGTTTAATTATTTCTAAAAATGTATTTAGATTAACACTAACATATTAAAAAATGCATTACTTGTATAAAAAAATTAATTAGATTATTTGATTTTGAAGATCATTAACAGTATTAATAAACTGCAATTTAATGTAGAATAACTAAGTAGTCAATAAAATATGTAGCATGTTTTAAGTAGCATGGTTTAACATTATAAGATTTGGAGTAAAAAAAATTAAAAGCTTAGGTAACTCACAAAAACATTTTTGGAGCGCTTCAGACGTATGATGACGATGATAAATATAATGCAAATGATGACCACTATAGCGATGATGATTCCAATGTAGGCAGGCATGAAACCAGCTTGGCTAGGGGCATCTGGCGGACAAAAGAAAGAGATTACAAAATTTCTTCTGCATTTAAAAAGAGACGTAAAAAAATATTACCATTTACAGGATTAATGTTAGTTGGGCAGATGTAGTATTGTCCATCTATTTCTGTAATCTCTGATAATTCTCTGGTCAGCCACCTTTCCTTTCCCTAACTTCAGACAAGTAACCATCAAAGCTAGTTACAGTTACACTCTTGCATGTCAAGTCAGCAAACCAAACTTGAAATTTTTATATTAGCAGATGTACAGTCAGGAAAGTACCAGATTAACAAAAGATTAGACAGTTGTTATAATAAAAGGGCACTTACCACCCACTAATAAAGTCATGTTTAAACTCCAGACTTGTCCGCCCCTGTTTTTTCCCATGCACTGATAATTCCCTTCATCGGCCTTTGATGCATTTTTTATTGTCAAACTGAAAAAAATATATCAAATGGAATTCTGGTTAAGGATTCGTTCATTAAAAAAATATATTTTGGTTTTAAATAAAATCAATTTTCAAAATAAATAAAAAATAAAGTAACTGTAATTTACCAGTGTTTATACAAAAAAAAATTTTTAATTTTTACTTTACAAAAAAAAAAAAGAATTATACATAGAAAAATTTAAGTAGCTAGCTTCAGTCTATAGGGCTGGTAAGTAGGTCACCAACCAGTTCTATGGCTCATGCAGGTCTTAATTGAGCCGTAGAACTGGTTGGTGACCTACTTATCAGCCCTATAGACAACAGAGGCTCAGACTCATAAATTTAAGCTTTTCAATACAGTACCTGTGGTCATGTAAAACATAATTTGATTTCTCTGTATCTTTCTCTGAAACTTCAATGCGTTTATCATCTTTAAACCATAAAATGGTAGGGGGAGGCAATCCTGTGATGCCACACTGAAATGCTGCGTTGGAGCCAATACTGACACGACGTGAACCAGTCGTTTGATGGTAAATTTCAGGTTTCTTGACATCTGAGAGAAGACAATTCAAAACATTTTAACTTAAAAAAAAATAGTTTCTAAATTTAAAATATAACAATGAACTATGATGCTATAAATAGGTGCAGTTATGTTATAAAAGAGTGCAATGATGTTTTAGTTACCAAAAACAGTCATCTCATAACTCAATGTGTGCGTAACATTTTCAAAAGTGGTTGCTGCGCAGTAGTAGCGCCCCTTGTCACTTTCTTTTAACGAGCTCCAGCGCATGATGACAATAAGGTAATCTCCAGAACTGAAATTTTTAAAAAGCATTGACGATATAGTAATCTTCAGAACTGAAGACAAAAAAGCATGATGACAATAAGGTAATCTTAAGAAATGGAAAACAAAAACAAAATGAAATCTGCAAATAAAGAATCTAAACTTTTGTGAAAAGCTGTGGATTTTCATTTTATATTTACATAGGCATGGCATAGAGCAGTTTTTTAAAATTATAAAACTAGTTTGTTTTTCTTCCTTCTTATTTTTATAGAATTTTATTTTTATAGCAAGTGATGTGACTCACCATAATTTATTTTAGACAAAACTAAATTGTGTGTTGTGAGGGTGGGGGTTCTTAGAAATGTTATATAACATGGACAACGTATTTAAGGTAAAATGGAGCACAGGTCTTTAAGCAATATGATTGATCTTACCTATTGTAAGTCACATTAATGCCAGGTTCTAGAGCTGTCACAATGGGCAGGACAGCATAAGGTGGGGGCATGGTGTGTCCAGCACTGTGGTTTAAATTTAACACAGCGGTTTCTGTACTGTTGGTTCCATTGGATGAACCACGTTCAGCGTTGGCTGAGTCGCCTGAGGTGACATTGAGCCCCTCATCTGCAAAAAACAGGCAAGCGGGCCTTGCCCTGAAGGCAGCGGCGGCGGCTGACCCACCAATACATGAGGAGTTGCTGGTGACAAAGGTCACGGTGCTATATTTGGAAATATAAAATAAAAAGAATGATTTTAACAAATCAGCTTTATTTTTTTCAAATTAATAAAAATTATATGGGTGTGCTTTAAAAACACACACATATTTTTAGGATAATAATGAAAAGGCTAAATAAAAATTGTAATTTGTAATCAACTTATTAAACAGTAATTTTTATTGTTTTGTTTTTTTCAAAAATATTAAACAGAACAAAAGCTCATTTGTGTTTTAACTTTACAAAGTCGACCCTCTGATTAATATACATACAGTATATGTATATTATACAATTTATTCATTTAAAACATTGCATTTGCAACCTTAATAGCCATAAAAACAAAAAAACTTAACTAAAATCAGTGTACAAATTTTGTTTGGCGAGAATTAAATAAGTTACCTGTACAACCATCTGTTAGCTGTACACTTGACTTCCAGAGTGTCTCCAAAAGCCAGCATTCTACTAGCATCATCAGTGACGTTCAGTATTCCTCTCTCACCTGCAGGCAACAAAAAAATTTAACGACACTAGTTCCACAAAGAAGATTAATTCAAAAATTTTTTAAAATAAATTATTAAAAAAAAAGGAAACAAAAGTTCAAAGCTAAATTAGAAAATTATATTCTGAATGTATGCAAAAACTAAAACTATTCTATTTTTGTATAATTTAATTTTTTTTTAAATCTGCTTTTTAAATTTTAAAAATATATTTTGTTGTTAACTTTCATAGTAAAAACTGGTGAATTCAGAACAATTTACCGAGGTGGTTTAAAGATGGAAATTTTTACTAAACTTTCCATTTCTTTTCGAAGATTAATGCAATAACTTTAATACAAACAAGTCAGTTTAAAAATTGTTTTAAATCTAATTTCTAGTAAGTTAAATTAAAAATTGTGTGATGCATTTAAATCTAATTTCTAATAAGTTAAAAAAGAGTAAATTGTTGCCAGCTAAGTAAAAGAATAAGATTATATATGTCTTTCTAATGTAACTTTACATAAACTACATTAAAAAGAGTTCCACTATTTCAATCTCCTGCTTCAAACTTCAACCAATTTACCTGAAACAACAGCCAACAGCGTGTGTGACACTTCACCAAATGTGTTTTCAGCCTGGCACTTAAAGTAACCAGAGGTCTGAGCTTGGACCAGTAGACTGTACACAACGTTCCCGTTTCCTTTGTGTACAGGGCTGCTGGTGTCCTTGTTGTGGACCACTTCCTCCCACAGGCTGTCATTCATTGAACAGTTGGGTGGACGACATTGCTACAATTGAACAAAATTACAATTTAAATAGAATTTAAATAAAACTAATATACAGGCCATGGGACGGAGTGGTCTAGCGGTAGAGAGCTGGACTGCTTGAGTTCGAATCCGGGTTCAAGTCAGTAGATCTGTCCCTGAGTCCACCCAACTCTGATGGGTACCTAACTCACTTTAGGGAGAGTAAAGGCGGCTGGGCATAGTGCTGACCACACTATCTCTTCATATGCCGCGGTCACAGAAACAAGTGAACTCTACTTCACTTGCCCCATAGACTGTCAGGTTTGAAAGGGAAACTTTACTTTACTTTTAACCCCTTTACTGTGGAAAAATTTTTTTTTTTTTTTGGAAACCGTGTAATTGTTTTTTTTCCACTTTCGTTTTCACATCACGTGATGACCTATTTTTATCATCCGCTGTTGAATTGACTGTTGGATTAGCCTCCCTCTACATTGTTATTGATTTCCAATGCTATTTTCGTATTTTTGTATCAAGACGAGTTAAATCGGGACGCACGGCACACAGACGACTTTTTTATCTGAAGACGAGTTAACTCATGATGTACGGTTAAGCACAAGATTTTATATGACGAGTTAACTCTTGACACACAGTAAAGGGGTTAATATACAGGCCAACATATTTTAAAAGAATAATAATAACCCTGGGGCTGAGACTTTAAAAGGAGGCTCAGGGGCAAATAGTTTGGAAACTACTTGTACATTAGAACATTAAATTCTTGCCTTATGTAACCAGTGTATTAGATAAAATATCTGACAAACTTACTTTATAGATTCTGGCCTTATGTAACAAGTGCATTAGATAAAATATTTGGGGAAACTTATCTAACATATTTTAGCCTTATATAACCAGTATGTTAGATAAAATAAAAGTCTACTGGCAACTTACCTTACAGATTCTAGCCTTATGTAACCAGTGAAATAGATAAAATATTTGACAACTTACCTTATAGATTCTTGCCTTATGTAGCCAGTGTATTAGATAAAATATTTGACAACTTACCTTATAGATTCTAGCCTTAAGTAACCAGTGTATTAGATAAAATATTTGACAACTTACCTTATAGATTCTAGCCTTATGTAACCAGTGTATTAGATAAAATATTCTGGCAACTTACCTTATAGATTCTAGCCTTAAGTAACCAATGTATTAGATAATTCTACTGGCAACTCACCTGAAAGAACCAGCTCTGATTACTCTCTGGGTAGCCTTTGATACTGCAAGTAATCTGAACCCAAGTGTTGCGTTTAAACGTTGCTAAGCCACTGCGCAAGTTGTCATGAGCTGATGCAGCTTGCAAAGTCACGTAAGGCTTGCCTGGACACATACAAAATAAATGCATGTTTTGGGATACTAGGAAAATTGTTGTATGCAACCATATTTTTGGGAAAATAAGATGACTGAGACATGAAAAAATATCAGGGTGGGGGTCGAGATCCCAAACTATATTTTAACAAGAAAATTTTTTAACTTTATATTTCATATTGCACAAAACATATTTTGAAGTGGTTTTTCTCAAGCCTATTTGATAGACTTACCATGTATGGTGAGGGAGATGTTTACAGAGGCCTCGGCTGTTAAATTTTTCATCCTTGCGATAGCCTTGAGGGTGTACACACCGCTGTTCTCCGTCTTGGGTTTTCTTATTATTAGCTCAGCGACAGAAAAATTAGTTCTCAACCTGCAAATCAACAATTAATTTGTTAAAACAATATGCTGATTGTAGACAGTTGCTCCACAAGTGAGGAAGGGGGGGGGGGGGGGGGGTAGAGGAAGAATGGGTAAAAAGTTAATTTGTCAGTATAATTTTCTTAAGTGCTGAAAATGGTTTCTTACCTTGAAATAACGTCTTCATTTTTCAACCTTTTCCCTTCAAAATACCACTGGACTGTGGGGGTGGGTACAGATATGATATCAACCGTAAGCTTGGTGGCACCGTCGGTGTCCAGGGCGGTGAGGTACGGAAATTCTGTTGTTAACTCAATAAACGGTTTGTCTGGAATTGTTTAAATATTTGCATTTGATACGTAAATTATCAATTTAATTTTTTTTTCTACTTTATTTAGAAACTGAGAACAAAAAATTGCTTCAAATAAAAATAGTCATACTTTACTTAGAAACTGGGTATAATTAGTATAAACAAATATCTAAAAATTTCATTGGAATGTTTACAACAAATCCTCAAAATAAGATGGCTAGATAAAATATCCAATAAAGACCGGTGCCAATACACAATACAACAGCCAAAAGTCAGGAACAGTAAAGCCCGCAAATGGGGATGGATTGGGCATACACTGGGAGGGGAAGAGGATAACATTACGAAGAAAGAATCCCAAGGGAAAGAGGAGAGTAGGCAGGTCAAGGAAATCCTGGAGAAGAACAATAGAAGAATGGGCAAAGGCTGCTGGGCTTACGTGGGCCCAACTGAAGAGAGGTGCCCAAAACCAATACTGTCAGAGAGGTGGCCGTAGTCGGCGTGGTCGAGTTGGTAAAGCTCATGGTTGTTAAACCGAAAAATCTCGAGTTCGAACCCTTGGGCAGATGCGGCTCGTTAGCTGGGGACAGCAGCTCTTCAAGGAGAGACAACTCCAAAATCAAACAACTGCTGCCTTGTAGCTTGTTCTTGGTTGGACAAAGGCTATGGAAGCAAATCCAAAAAGAAAAGCAGGCTGAAATCTGAGTCAATGGCCTCAATAGTGCATAACCAGTTGAAACGTATCCTTAATTGTGATGGAGGCGTGGTCGAGTCGGCCAAAGCTAATGGTTGATAAATGCGAAGAAGTCTCGAATTCAAACCCTCTGGCAGATAAGGCTCGATCTATTCCAACACTAAAAATTAAGAAAGAAGAAGAAGAAGAAGAGAGGTGGCAGCCCTTTGCTCCCCATGGGCCACAGATGGAATTATAAGTAGAAGAAAAAGCTTATAGACAGTATAAAAATATTAACCCTACCATAGACTTGAATATAGATTGAGCTTCTTTCATAATTATTTGGAGCTCCTGTGACTGTTGTGGTACAACAAAAGTAACCAGAATCCTCCACCCTCAGGTCGTGTACGGTCAAGGTGTTGGTGATGTGATCAAAATCACCATGTGTAACTCTAAGCGGAGGTTTTATAATGTAACGTCCATTGTCCTGAGTTTTTAAAAAAAAAATAATTGTTAGGTGTAATAGCTAAAAAATATATAATTATTTTAAGATTTTACAATTGCAGATTCTTTTTTCCTAGACAACTATAAGCACAGATAAGGAGAACTTAAAAAAAAAATATTTTCATTTAACAAACCATATATAAGATTAGGTCTATTAGCTAATGAATACAGTTACATTCCTCAGTTAAAATTCCAAAATCTTGTTTTTAGAGTTTAACCTTATTCTATCAAATGGGATTTCACTCCTTCCCTACCTGGATATGTTGTATGCTGCCAGCTTTTTCTAAAGTATCGTTGTGACGAGGAACAGAATGCTGCAAGAAAATTACAGAATATTGTAAAATATGTTTTAATAGCTAGAATTAATTTTTCTAACAACAGTTTTTTTTTATTTCGACAAAGAAAATTTAAAAAATTTTTAATTACTGTATTATACTATCCTTAAACTTTCAAAAATATTATGAAGAAAGTAAAAAAAAAATTCTATTTTTAAATTCCCCGCAAGACATTGAGTAAAAATTATTAATTTTTATCTTAAATAAAATTTTAACCGTTAAGACAATTTTGGCCTTAAAAACAATTTTAGCCATAAAAACAATTTTAACCTTAAAAAAAAAAAATTTTAGCCTTTAATAACAATTTTAGCCTTTAATAACAATTTTAACCCTGAAAAAGATTTCAAAAGCACAAAAAAGTTACATCTTTCTGAGGATAGTCAAAGTCCATGTACACAGTAAAATCCTTGACCACTTTGACCCAACAGTGCAGTTGTAGAGTTTCACCAACTTGAAAGTTGGGTTTGTTGATGTCCAAGAGTGGTGTTGGTGTAAGATTACCTGCAATGTAATGAATGATGTAATGAACTCTGTAAATAACTCTTGTACACGTTTTTACTTTTATTCTAATTTTTATTGTATTCCAAGTTTTGTAAGTTTATCATTTTATGCTGTTTCAACTTTTAAAATCATTCTATTTCAGTCCCTCCCCTCTACTTCAACTTGTGTAATATAAACATAGTAGAAAGTATGTTATCATGTTAAATGCATGCTTTGAATTTCAAACATGAACATTTAAAATAAATTCTAGACTTAAAACTCATTTTTAATTAGCTAGCAGGCCTAACACCTTATTTAAAAGTTTCCAATGTATTTTAAGCAAATTCATATATATTATTTTTGTATTAATCTAAACATTGATAAATAATTTCAAATGATTTTCTTGTGTAATAAAATTATAAATTACACAACCAGATATCAAAATTTGCACAAGATAAAATTTACAGTGCTGATTATAATTAAAAGAAAATAATTACCTCCATCCATATGCACAAAGATACGAATGTCTTTAGATTCATTTATGGCTGTAGTATTAGCATAGCAAAAAACACCATTTTGGTATTCATACGTTGGCGATATTACAAAGAATCCAATTTTAGGATCATAACGAATCCCTTCTGCATTTGTTTGGTTAACATAATTCACAAATAAATCCACCTAGTGAGGATTTTTTAAAACATAATAATTGTTAAACCACAAAGATGATACAAAATATGCAAGCTAATTAAAAAATACTTGTATATACATTTCAGTAAATAAATTTAATTTTCAGAAACAAACATGTTAATAATACAATCTAAGAATTGAATAAAAGTTTTACAGTAAAAATTTTTTTGTTAATTTACATGTTTGTTAGAAATATATGTTTAAAAAATCAATTAATTTAATAAAAAAGAAAACCACTCACTTTTATACTTGGGTCAGTGACCCCACAAGGAAGGATAAGAGGTCGGTTTATTGGGAGAACAAAAAAATTGATGGCCACATATTGAAAGGCCTTTGTAGGATCTGAAAACAAAAACAAATATTTTGACTTTGATGTAAGTTGAAAGATAAAACTTTACCAGCACACACTAAAAAGACTGGGTATAGCGAAAACAAAGTAAATATTTAGACTTTCTGTGAGGTTTGGGGAAAAAGTAACCACTTTATAAACAACTGAAAGCATTTCTATTTCATTCAAGCCACATATAAATGGCACCTAAGTGTATCAGGCTTGTAAAATAAAATACAGGAAAATAAACTTCTAGGGGCTGTGTGGTCAAATAGTAGAACTTATAACTGCCAACCTCAAAGTCTTGTGTTTGAACTTGGATGTCCCAAGGTCTACCCAGCTGTGATGGATCCCAGACTCATGTTAGGGACAGTAAAGGTGGCTGGGCATAGTGCTGACCACACTATCCCTTCATACGCAGAGGTCTATGAAACAGGTGAACTCCACTTGCCTCATGGACAGTAAGGTTCTAAAGCGTACTTTACTGTTTACTTTCTTACAAAATATAATTATCGTGTGGCAGCACTAAGCAATAGAGCGCTCAACTTATAGGTCAAGAGAAATTAAAGGTGACTGGCCATAGTACTGACACGTTATTCCTGCATATGATGTTGGCATGGTTGGGTAGGTAAAGCTCATGCATGCTTAACTGAAAAGTCCCAAGTTCGAACTCCCTTGCTGGGAACAGGAACCCTTCTAGGAGAGACAACTCCAAAATCAAAACAACTGCTGCTTTGCAGTTAGTTCTTGGTTTGACAAAGGCTATGGAAGCAAATCCAGAAAGAAAAGCAGGCTGCAATCTGAGTCAAGACCAATATGGCGCTCACAGATTGACACCTAATACTTAATTGAGTTGGAGGAAATCCCGTCCAACATTACAATCAAGAAAGAAGACAAAAAGAAGAAATCCCAGCATATGCCATGGTCACAGAAACAGCTGAGCTCTACTTCATCTATTTTATTGACTCTCAGGTCCAAAAGGCCAAGTTTTATATTAAGACTGTTGAAGAAGAAACCCAAAAAAGAAGTTGATGATGAGTGAGAAAACAAGCAGATCATAGCACTACAAATACTCAACTAGTATCTACAAAGGAAAAAAAGAGGCAGTACAAGAAAAGAAATCTGGAAACATGATATGGAAAGTAACAAGAAAGGTGGGTGTTACAGGGGAGACTTGGAGAAGACAGTTCAGGACTGTGTTAAAAGGTGGGTTTTACAGGGGTGTTGGAGAAGCCAGGCCGGGGGTTCGTTCAGCCAGGATACAGGGGGTCAACTTGAAATTTTGTCCTTTATTCGTAATTTTTCACCAGATTCATTTTAGATCTATTCTACTAGTCAAGATCTAATCATTTAGATTTAATTATTTTTTAAGGTTAAATTTACACTTTACACTAAATTAATTTAATAAATAAAGGTTGGGTAACAAATATACCCTCATTTACCTGTGACAAATATAAATATTTGTGCATACTTTGCAACCGTGGGTTCTGGGTTACGCCCGTAGATCCCGTAGGCACCAGAGCCACATTTGTCGTCATGTTTTGACGGTGGCGGTTGGAAGGAATCCTGCATTGATGGCGCGGAATACAAGTGCATTGAGGGTGGTGGGTCATCCGCGTAAGAACAATAATAAAACCTAGCGTCAAACCAGCGGGCGTTTATGATATGCAGAACTTGCCGGAACAGGCCGTCTGCTCCGGTGTCGTTAGCCTGCCTAGTGATGACTTGACTTGTGTATTCGTCCTGTGGTTGAAAGAAATTTAAATTTGGTGATTTTTTAAAAATGGCATTTTATTTACAGACCTTCGCTAAATGTCACCTCCCCCCTCCCCCGACTCAGAGGCGTAGCGATTTGGCGCCCCCTCGGGAGCAAATTTCAATTTGCACCCCCCTCAAACTAATTGTTTTTCCAACTCATTTTGGCGCCCCCTATGGTCGGCGTGCGGGGACATAGGTACGCCCCCCGCGCTACGCCTCTGCCCCGACTGTAACCTCATTTTTAGGGGTCGTCCATAAATTACGTCACATTCGTAAGGGTGAGAGGGGGGGTCCGTAATTTTGTGACGGTGTGTGATGAGGGGGGTGGTTCAGATGGTGTGACGTCACACTTTTGCATTTATAAAAACGCAATGTTAGAAAACGAATTTTAGCCGTTATTTCGCGATGTAAATTGTAATAGGAATTGATTAAAAATAAAATACTCCATGTTGACAGAGTTCAGACAAGATCTTGGAAAAATATGGAAGTTTTCAGAAAAATGCAACTGCAATTTTGAGGGGGGGAGGGGGTCCTCGTAGGTTGAGGTGTGACGTTATTTTAGGGGGGGGGGGGGGGTCTGGCTTTTTGTGACGATGTGCGACGGAAGGGCGGGGGGGGGGGGGGGGAAAGTAAAAATCGTCAAAAAAAAGCGTGACGTCATTTATGGATGACCCCTTACAAGAATATCTTTATGTCCACGATAATTACTGTATATAAAAGTGAAACATATTTAATCGTAGACACCACATCTTATTGCGATTGTCAACAGCACCGTTTTTTAAGTGTCCCGATCTTCTTAACACTAACGGAGTATAAACGTTAAACTCAGTGATCGCTCAGTTTGACGTAGGACTTTGACAAGATACTACAGAAACGATGACGTCATAAAACGCGCGTAGGTAAGAGGGGGGGGGGTGCATAAGAAGCCAAAATTGCGAAATCTCTAAATAGTTAAAGAAAAAAAAGAAAAAATGTAGAATACGAAAATTAAAAGAAAAAACTACAAGTGTGTAGCGAGGGGGAAGGGGAACGATGGCGTGCGGGGAGGGAGGGGGTAGGTTAATTAAGTAGCATCAGACGCAGTCGGGGGTGCTGAGGAGGCGGACGGGCTTTAAAACAGTTTGCTTTTTCAATGGAGAGGTCGCTTCCCTTTTTAATCAGCACCGCTTTGTAGTCACAGGAATTAAAGTGAATATTCTGATGGTAGCTTGTAGGTCTTTCGTTCTCCTTTCTCCCTCTTTTTCTTTTAGGGGTCATCCATTTATGACGTCCACAAAAATTTGGCATTTTAGACCCCCCCCCCCCCCCCCACACACGCGTCCACTTTCGACGAACTCCCCCCCCCCCCCGGTGAACGGAAAAAAAGTCACAGGAAAAAAAAAACACAGAAAAAAGTCACAGTTTTTGCTAGGAAAAAAAGTCACAGAAAAAAAGTCACAGTGGAAAAATTTTATCGGAAAAAAAGTCACAGAAATAAAGTCACAGAAAAAAAAGTCACAAAAATCTTTTTAGAAATATTATTAATTTGATAAAAAATGTAAAATTTTGTACGTTTATTGTTGTGGGTTGTATTTTTTATAGCATAAATTAATTATAGACGTTAAAAGCATTGATTTATAACAATTGTAAGTAAAAATACTCTAAGATAATTAACACAACCATCTAAACATTTGTTACGTGTTTAGTTAAATACGCGGTAGAAAAGTTAATTATAAAAGAAATTTAGGCACATTTTGCCGTAGGCTATTCTGGTCGGCCTCTCCTCAGTAGGCATTGTCTGAACATATTTTGTGTTGTTGACGTTATGCGTCATCGACAGCCTTTGAACCTTGTCGGCTTTCTGTTTTGATCCTAAGTTTTGTTATGTAATGAGCGTGATAAATGTGGGAAGTAAAGGTGGTTGAACTAAACATAACTATTGTTGCCATGAGTTGAGGGCAGCAAGTCAGATGAAGTTACCATATCACGGTAATTTAATATTGGTATTTAAAAAAAAAAAAAAGCACGATAAAAAACGTGGACTTTAGAGCAGGGGTCTCCAAACTTTTCAGTCCGAGGGCCGCATTAACTATCAAATTTCAGTTCGGGGGCCAGTTTCTTCCAGGCATGTCTTTGATTTTTCGGGGCAAAGTTCCTCAACAAACGATTTTTCCGTGGACAAAAAGATCTCCGCGGGCCGGATGAGGGGACTTTGCGGGCCGCATCTGGCCCGCGGGCCGTAGTTTGGAGACCCCTGCTTTAGAGCATTCTATTAAATGCTATTAATCTTAAGTTTAAAATAATTACAATCTAAATACTTCATAATAAATATTTTTAGATGAATTATAAAAATTCCTGTGCGTATACAGCCTACACACATTACATTTAATTATCCTAAGTTAATTTGCACTATCTAAATATTTAATACATAAAAGTATTAACAAATATCATGCAAATATATATTTGTGACTTTTTTCCTGTGACTTTTTTCCTGTGACTTTTTTTCCTGTGTTTTTTTTCCTGTGTTTTTTTTTCCTGTGACTTTTTTTTCCTACAATTCCCCCCCCCCCCCCCAATTGTGGATGTCCACAGTAGACCTCTCAATACACGCTGCAAAATTACTAACTCATTTACATGCAATGTGAACATAAATTAATAATGTAATATAGGGATTTGATATTTTCTATTACTAGGCCTAAATAATAATTGGGAGTTAAACTTTTCCAAGATGTCCGTAAGTCAACGTCTTGTTAACTTACCGTGTGAATGTGTCAGGACTATCTAAAGATGTGATCGCGCATGGACGCTGTGTACCCTGCCTCTCGATTTTAAAGGCTTTTTTTACCCACTATATGTTATAAAGAGTCAGAGATTGCAGGCAGGTATGCATCTTTTTTTTTTTACCCAAACACAAGTCAATTTTTTCGGACCCCCCCCCCCCCCCCGTGTGGACGCCATAAATGGATGACCCCTTACCACTATCCCACACCTACTAAAAAACTGACAACTATATTTTTTTTTTAATTACGCAAGTTTAACACAATAATAATTACACTGTTGAAACCTGCTTCAGAAAAAAAAGATTTTTTTAACAGTTTATATTTTTAAAGCAGTTCTCTTCAAATAATTGAAAGAGGCATAATGTTATCCAGATGGGGTAGAGTGCTTTGGTGACATGTGCAAGATGGCGGTAACTAGTCTAACCCAGAGCCGTGGCGTGGTATTTACTTTTTAAATATTTTGTTTTTAAAACTTTGTAATGAGCATGTTGAAGTAAACAAAATAATTCGATTGTGATGTGCATTTCTGGGTTAAGCTAGATACAGCGAAGCACAGCACGATGAATAGACATTATAGATAACGACAGCGCAACTAACTCCTTAGTCGAACTACTTACTATACAACGATCGTGAATCAACTGAATTCTAAAAAGAAGTAGCTTCCTTCGTTCTGAAGTTAGCTGAACAAGAAAGTAATCTTTTCTGTTATAGAGTACTTGTCTGGCTTAACCTTTGCCCCCAGAAACTTACGTTATCTCACATATCCTATAGCCTTATATTAATTTCCCAATTATACTTACGTTAATCCCCTAATTTCCCAAAAATTTACGTCAATCCCACAAAGTCCCAAAAAATTATATTAATCCCCAAACGTCCAAAAAAACTAACGTTAATCCCACAATGACCCAAAAAAACTAACGTTAATCCCACAATGACCCAAAAAACTTACGTTAATCCCCCATGTCCCAGAAACTGACGTTAATCCCCAATGCCCTCAGAAGCGTACGTTGATCACCCAATGTCCAAGACACTTACGCTAGTCGCCCATGTCCAAGAAACTTACGCTAGTCGCCCATGTCCCGGAAACTTACGCTAGTCGCCCATGTCCCGGAAACTTACGCTAGTCGCCCATGTCCCAGAAACTTACGCTAGTCGCCCATGTCCCATAAACTTACGTTAATCCCCCATGTCCCGAAAACTTACGTTAATCCCCCATGTCCCGAAAACTTACGCTAGTCGCCCATGGTACAGAAACTTACGCTAATCCCCCATGTCCCAGAAACTTACGCTAGTCGCCCATGTCCCAGAAACTTACGCTAATCGCCCATGTCCAAGAAACTTACGCTAGTCGCCCATGTCACAGAAACTTACGCTAGTCGCCCATGTCACAAAAACTTACGCTAGTCGCCCATGTGCCAGAAACTTACGCTAGTCGCCCATGTGCCAGAAACTTACGCTAGTCGCCCATGTCCCAGAAACTTACGCTAGTCGCCCATGTCCAAGAAACTTACGCTAGTCGCCCATGTCCCAGAAACTTACGCTAGTCGCCCATGTCACAAAAACTTACGCTAGTCGCCCATGTGCCAGAAACTTACGCTAGTCGCCCATGTGCCAGAAACTTACGCTAGTCGCCCATGTCCCAGAAACTTACGCTAGTCGCCCATGTCCAAGAAACTTACGCTAGTCGCCCATGTCCCAGAAACTTACGCTAGTCGCCCATGTCCCAGAAACTTACGCTAGTCGCCCATGTCCCAGAAACTTACGCTAGTCGCCCATGTGCCAGAAACTTACGCTAGTCGCCCATGTCCACTTGAGTGGCCTGGAGCCGATACACAGGATGTCTTTGTTCTCTGAGACGTTCAGGATGATGGTCTCCTCAGCAAGAATCTTCGGCGTGTGGTACACGATGGCACTGGTTCCTAGGGTAAAAAGAGATGAAATTGTTAGCAGTCGTCAGTAAGGGAAGGTAAAATTGTAAAAAGTCATAAGTAAAGTGAGATAAAATTGCTAAAAGTCGTCAGTAAAGTAAGGTAAAATTCTAAGTATATATTATCAACTGTATAAAGTAGATTAAATCAGGCATCCCATTAAGTAGCTTACAGGCAGTTACATCATATAGAACTACTTTAATTTAAAAATCCGGAACAAAAAAAGAGCCTTTCTCTCCTTTACTAAAACCACAACTCCAGAAGATAATAGGAATTTGTTTTAAAAATCGGATTTTATAATTAGGTTAATTTAATTTATATTTCTTCATTCCCCCCCCCCCCCACCCCCTCCTTCCCCCGTGTAGAAAAAAGTTTAAAGGATCAAATACCCAATCCACCTTCGGCGCCTCACGATATCTTCTGATTATCCTTTTTTTTTAACTGATAAAATAAAAACTAGCAGCAGCCCTTGAGAGACTTCAGATGTTTGATTTAATGGTTTGGCTTAGACCAAGCTTCAGGGTTATGATTTAAGTTATGAGTTTACGTTAAAATTTTCAATTATAATTTTATAATTAAATACCACGCGATTCTAGGCGAGTACGCAGAGTTTCTTCCAGGCATCTCTCCGCCCCCCCCCCCCGAACGAGATGGAATTTATATAGTAAACATATACTTTTACTAGTGTCCGCCCCCCCCCCCCCCCGGAAAATGTTGACCCCCCCCCCCACCCGGAGAAAAAAGTCTGGAAGAAGCAGAGTACGTCTAACCGAATACTGCATTTAGTGGTGCACGCAAAACATCTTTTAAAAAAAAATAATTAATTAATTAACGATTGATGCTTAGCTGCTGGTCTGTGAGAGGGTTGGGCACCTGGGCTGTAATCAGCCATGTATTCGTACAGAGAGGGGAGGGAGGGGGAGGGGGGGGGTAGATGCTACTTCCATGTACTTGTACAGAGAGAGGGGGGTTAGATGCTACTTAGGTGAGGGATGTACATCCTATACATGTATGCCAACACTCAATCATTAAATGTATGCCAACACTCAATCATTAAATGTATGCCAACACTCAATCATTAAATGTATGCCAACACTCAATCATTAAATGTATGCCAACACTCAATCATTAAATGTATGCCAACACTCAATCATTAAATGTATGCCAACACTCAATCATTAAATGTATGCCAACACTCAATCATTAAATGTATGCCAACACTCAATCATTAAATGTATGCCAACACTCAATCATTAAATGTATGCCAACACTCAATCATTAAATGTATGCCAACACTCAATCATTAAATGTATGCCAACACTCAATCATTAAATGTATGCCAACACTCAATCATTAAATGTATGCCAACACTCAATCATTAAATGTATGCCAACACTCAATCATTAAATGTATGCCAACACTCAATCATTAAATGTATGCCAACACTCAATCATTAAATGTATGCCAACACTCAATCATTAAATGTATGCCAACACTCAATCATTAAATGTATGCCAACACTCAATCATTAAATGTATGCCAACACTCAATCATTAAATGTATGCCAACACTCAATCATTAAATGTATGCCAACACTCAATCATTAAATGTATGCCAACACTCAATCATTAAATGTATGCCAACACTCAATCATTAAATGTATGCCAACACTCAATCATTAAATGTATGCCAACACTCAATCATTAAATGTATGCCAACACTCAATCATTAAATGTATGCCAACACTCAATCATTAAATGTATGCCAACACTCAATCATTAAATGTATGCCAACACTCAATCATTAAATGTATGCCAACACTCAATCATTAAATGTATGCCAACACTCTATCATTAAATGTATGCCAACACTCAATCATTAAATGTATGCCAACCACAATCATTAAATGTATGCCAACACTCAATCATTAAATGTATGCCAACACTCAATCATTAAATGTATGCCAACACTCAATCATTAAATGTATGCCAACACTCAATCATTAAATGTATGCCAACACTCAATCATTAAATGTATGCCAACACTCTATCATTAAATGTATGCCAACACTCTATCATTAAATGTATGCCAACACTCAATCATTAAATGTATGCCAACACTCAATCATTAAATGTATGCCAACACTCAATCATTAAATGTATGCCAACACTCAATCATTAAATGTATGCCAACACTCAATCATTAAATGTATGCCAACACTCAATCATTAAATGTATGCCAACACTCAATCATTAAATGTATGCCAACACTCAATCATTAAATGTATGCCAACACTCAATCATTAAATGTATGCCAACACTCAATCATTAAATGTATGCCAACACTCAATCATTAAATGTATGCCAACACTCAATCATTAAATGTATGCCAACACTCAATCATTAAATGTATGCCAACACTCAATCATTAAATGTATGCCAACACTCAATCATTAAATGTATGCCAACACTCAATCATTAAATGTATGCCAACACTCAATCATTAAATGTATGCCAACACTCAATCATTAAATGTATGCCAACACTCAATCATTAAATGTATGCCAACACTCAATCATTAAATGTATGCCAACACTCAATCATTAAATGTATGCCAACACTCAATCATTAAATGTATGCCAACCACAACCATTAAATGAATGCCAACATTTGAGATTCTACTAAACACAGTAAAAAAATTGAGATGTCACACCAACTAACACCAACATCCTATCCAAAACAATAATGCATGGGGGGGGGGGGGGGAAGAAAAGGGGGGAAGGCAAAGGCGACATTGGATGGATGCCACCAAGGACTAGACGGGGGGGGGGGGGGGAGTGCCCGTTGTCAGAACTAACCAGAACAGCAGAGGACCAGAGATGGGTGGCGGAGGAATTATAAGGTCAACTGTGATGCCCCAACGACATAAATAAGGGTTAAGGGATGATGATGATGACGATTACGATGAAATGGCCGGGATGATGACAGGACCCTGAGGGTTAGGGTGGTCTTAGTCCCGCTTTCACAAACCTGTATAAAACTGTGATGCCCATTGTGTTTCCACAACCATCCGCCCATTCCTCCCCCCCCCCCCCCCTTCTTTCAACTAGACTACTGGCGTTAGCCATGCAATAGAGTTGATTCTAGCATCCCAAACATATTACGCTGATGAACGAGTCATCGCAATACACAATAACGATAACACAATAACATTATTTAACTTATAAATCAGAGTTGACAAATAATGTATCTGTATAAAACAGTTGCTGGTCCAGTGGCGTAGGCAGGGGGGGGGGGTTAGGGGGGGTCATAACCCCCCATAGACCCCTCAGTATATAGAAAAAGTATGAGGGGGGGGGGGTGCAAATCGAAAGTTTGAGGGGGGGGGTGCAAATTGAAAGTTTGAGGGGGGGGGGGGGGGGGTGCAAATCGAAAGTTTGTCCCCGGGTAAAAATTGGACCCCCCCCCCTTGAGAAGATCCTGGCTACGCCACTGTGCTGGTCATTTAAACATCAAACGTATGAATAATTTGACTATATTTATGAATTAAATCTGATTGGTTAAATTTACTCTATTTATGAATTAAATCTGATTAATTTTACGATATTTATGAGTTAAATTTCATTTGTTAACCTTACTATATTTGTGAATTAAATATGATTGGTTAATTTGACTACATTTATGAATTGAATTTGATTTACTTTGACAGTTATAGTATTTTCATGAATTTTTAGACGCGTACGAATAGAAATAACCTTTAAGGATTCTGCAATTGATTAGGAATGTCACTAGAAAAAAAGAAACATTCGAAAGAAAAAAGAAGGATAATGAAAGAAGAAAGTGATAAGGGGTAGAGATTCGTCGAGCTTACTACACAAATAGAAACCTCTCCCTCCTCTCCCCCCACCCCGCCAGGGTAAACTTCAAATGGAATTAAGCTTGACACCTAGGCAACGGAAACCAGGTGGGGGTAGTTTCACCTGTATCCTGTATGCGGAACGGATGCCTAGGTGGTTCTTGTGACGTAACAACTGCCGGTTGGTTTAAACGGGGTGTCCTAGGCCTGGAGCTTGAAATATCCCCATAAGAGGTGGTCAGAAACTAGACCATCAGTGAGAAACGATGACCGATGACCTCGTTTGTTGTTTTTTTTTTTTTTTTTTTTTTTTTTTTTTTTTTTTTGCTTTTTACCGATGACCGCTTTTTTTTTTTATCAAAGACCGCTAGTTTTTTTTAATTATATTTTTTATTTTTAAATAAGGACCGAAATTCTGAAACAATGACATATATTTTAAAATAAGGACCACTAGTGCATTTAACCCAGCTTAATTAATGCAACATAACCCCCGCTACTATACATAACGATGACCAAAATCCAACTTTTTAAACCAGAAGTATCTAAAATTTTGTTTTCTTCAGCTCGCCCTAGACAGCCGAGTCTACCAACCTGCTCCCCCTACACAGCAGCTGCAAGCCATTATGCCCGCACGCATGATGCTGAATAACCGTTTAAGTAAACTTTATCCTCCGAATAGGCCGGTTGCCAACTTTCTTATCATTTCGAATCAAAGTTAACGTAAGGGATAGTGGTTGGAACTGGAGTTGTTTTCTATAGAAATGTCGATCGATATGTGGTATGTGTGGTTTGGTTCAAATTTAATTAATTGCGGTTTAGGTTTACGTTTAGGTTAGTGTTTCGGTTTAGTAAGGACTATGATTAAATTGAATATGAAAGTTATGCCTTTTTAGTTTTGTTCTGTGAACAATAGTAGTTAGATACAAACAAATAGCTTTGTATTCAAGAACGTTTTAGTTGAACCGCAATTCTTATAGGAAATGTAGGACATAAAGAGACAAAAAAAAAGTCAAAGACGTTAAACCTAGAGTTATCATCAAAGATTAGAATATTGAAATGGGATAGAACCGTTTAGCAGACGATAACACGAGCCCGAGTTATCTACCTGTATGATTTACCTCAGTGCAACAAGGGCGGGTTCATTGTCTGGTAACGCCCAACGATTACCTTTTTTAACAACATAATCCAAAAAGGTAGGTCGTCGTGATCTACAAATCACGGTCGCACTGACCCCCCCCCCCACCCCCACCCCTTAAACAATTCCGAGGTCATAACGGCCATAAAACCTGCCAGGGTCACATTGGACCATGCCAAGGTCACGGTGGCCTTCAAGTGTGCCAATGGCCTGGGCCAAGCAGAAGTTAATAAAACCAGCAACAGCTGTAGCTTGCATGAAGAGAAGAAAAAAAAAATTCTTTCCTTAGTCATTCATAAACCCGGCAACAGCCAAAACCAAAACAACAGGTGCTTGCTGCGCATGCCCATGTTGCAAATTATGCAGATGTTGGTGCGCGATCAGAGTGAAATCAGGTCAACTACTTCCGGTTTTTTTTTCTCCCTTAGAAGTTTAACGAAAAAGAAACTCCTGCAATAAATGAGCTCATTCACAAATCATAAGAACTAGTACTAATGGAGCTTTAAAATACGTTTTTAAATTGATGCTTCAAATGAGTTTTAAAACGCGCAATTAGTGTGAAAGTGGGGGGGGGGGGGGCGCACTCAAGGTTAAAGTCACACTGTGTTGTGACGCATCGACCTAAGTTCAGACATTTTACTGATGACTTTACAAAAAGAAAACTAGACCACCGTTCAGAAATTTATCTGATTTTAGAGTTTGACTTGACCATCGCTTTCTGACTGAAATATCAGCAGCAGTTGACTAAATCGTGCTTTAAATATTACGATTAAAAATAAAACATCTATTTTATTAATTCCATTTTAATGGGGACTAGAGCGACATGCTGATAATTAAAAACATACATTAGTCACGTGTTGCATTAACCGTAAAACAATAAAATCTTAAAAAAAAAGAAGCCTGTAATCTATATTATAACCCGATAGGTAGTGTGCCACTCCGTCGTTCCGAATGCAGTGGTAAAAAAAAACCGGATTACCGAATTTTTTAAAGTAACACATAGTGATGCAGAGGCGTAGCGCCCGGGGACAAACTTTTCGATTTGCACCCCCCCCCCTTCGAGATTTCGATTTGCACCCCCCCCCCCCTCAAACTTTCGATTTGCACCCCCTCAGCCTTTCAATTTATTTCTCCATCCCATTTTGACGCCCCCTAAGGTCGGCGCCCGGGGACATATGTCCCCCCCGCCCCCCCCCCCCTCGCTACGCTACTGTAGTGATGTAAAGGAAAATATATAACTATGTGGTATAGGTGTGTGTGTATTTGTGGGTGTGATGTGTGTGTGTGTGTCAAGCAGGATATGTGTGAAAACAACGATATACAATTTCTTTTAATGAAAAGGTTAATTAGCTTTTACCTTTCCTCTTATTTATTTGAGAAAGATATAATAATCATGGTTTCTATACGGAAACAGTCTTCTAATTATAACAAATGTACACACAATGACGAATGGTGTAGATAGCCAATATCTAAATTATTGGGAGGAAGGAGTACGTTAATGACGAATTAACTCAGGAATATCTTCAAGTGCCAAAGATTTTGGCACATGACTCAGTTTAAAAATTATTTTTAAAACCGCTTTTTTTGGTGGGGAATTTTCCCCGAAGAAAGCGTGTCGACTCCTGTGGTTTGCACTTTGTGTATCAGTTGTGTGGGGTTCATGTGGAGAAGTTCCAATAGAACTAGACGCTCGATATTTGTAGAAAAATCCCAGTAGACCAAGGTGTTCAGACATACAAGGTTTATGAAGAGAAGTTCCAATAGAAGTAGACGCTCGATATTTGTAGACAAGTCACAGTAGACCTAGATGTTCAGACATACGAGGTTTATGGGGAGGTTCCGATGCACCTAGACGCTCGATATTTGTAGAAAAGTCTCAGTAGACAAAGGTGTTCAGACATACGAGGTTCATAGGGAGGTTCCAATAGACCAAGAGGTTCAGACATAAGGTTCATGGGGAGGTTCCAACATACTAAGACGTCCAGACATATAAGATTTATGGGGAGGTGCAACTACAACAAGGAGTTCAGACATACGAGGTTCACAGGGAGGTTCCAATACACCAAGATGTTCAGACATACGAGGTTCATGGGTAGTTTCGTAGGTAGGTTCATGTGGGGATTTATATGGAGGTTAATGGGGAGGTTTATAGTGAGGTTCATGGGGAGTTTTATAGGGAGGTTTCAATAGATCTTGACCTACAGACATGGGAGATTCCAATAGACCAAGACGTTCAGAGGCATGGGGGTTTTATAAAAGCCACAGTAAACCAAGGTTTTAGATGCTTGTGGGTCCTACATGTTCCAAGAGCACAAAGAGGTTCAGGCCAAATAGATTCGATATTTTAAGACTTCAAAGTAGACAAAGGAATTCAGATACACGAGGAAACAAGGGAAGAGTTTCGATACAAATGAGCTATAAGATAAGATTGTACAATGACATAATCATTGGCTGGCAGACTATCCCTGAAGCAAGTATTTAATTTACTGTATGCTAGCACACACGACAAAAAAACTTTTCAACAACTTTCAACAACTATAATAAAAGTCAGCATAAGAGCCAACAACCCTGGTGATGTATCGAACACAGCTGTACACAAAGTTCGAAAACTGAACACACTGGGGGTCAAGGCCAGCGCGTGTGGCACAGTGTGTGTAGGAGCACGTTTGGTGGTGGAGCTTCAATGAAATTCCTGCAGCAAGCAGGAATTCAAAAACATGTTTAGCGCGGCAGCGGGAAGAACAACAAAGATAAAACAGGTTCACAGAGGTGAACAATTCGCTCGCGTTCAGCGCGTCAGAGGTAATTAAAGTCTACATTGTATCGTCATTCTTCAGAATACACTAAAAAAAAAATCATGTATGCCCAGGGAAGATTAAACGAAAATGTAATCTTTACACACAAAAAATAGGAATTTTTTTAATGAAGATAGTAAACCCACCCAAGTATATAAAAATATACTGTATTACGAACATGATTTTTTTAGGATTTAATAATGTGGGGAGCAAAACCTACCAGAGTTACACCATCCTACAGGAGATACATCATCCTACCCGGGTACAAAATCCTACCTGAAGTACAGCGACACAACTGGGGTACAACATCCTAACGGTGTACAAAATCCTACCTAGGGTATAGCAACACACCTGGGGTACAACATCCTACTTGGGGTACAACCTACCTGGGGGTACAACATCCTACCTGGGGTACAACAACCTACTTGGGGTACAACATCCTACCTGGGGTACAACATCCTACCTGGGGTACAACATCCTACCTGGGGTACAACATCCTACCTGGGGTACAACATCCTACCTGAGGTACAACATCCTACCTGGGGTACAACATCCTACCTGGGGTACAACATCCTACCTGGGGTACAACATCCTACCTGGGGTACAACATCCTACTTGGGGTACAACATCCTACCTGGGGTACAACATCCTACCTGGGGTACAACATCCTACCTGGGGTACAACATCCTACCTGGGGTACAACATCCTACCTGGGGTACAACATCCTACCTGGGGTACAACAACCTACCTGGGGTACAACATCCTACCTGGGGTACAACATCCTACCTGGGGTACAACATCCTACCTGGGGTACAACATCCTACCTGGGGTACAACATCCTACCTGGGGTACAACATCCTACCTGGGGTACAACATCCTACCTGGGGTACAACATCCTACCTGGGGTACAACATCCTTCTTGGGGTACAACATCCTACCTGGGGTACAACATCCTACCTGGGGTACAACAGCCTATTTGGGATACAAAATCTCACCTGGGGGTACAACATCCTACCTGGGGTACAACATCCTACCTGGGGTACAACATCCTACCTGGGGTACAACATCCTTCTTGGGGTACAACATCCTACCTGGGGTACAACATCCTACCTGGGGTACAACATCCTACCTGGGGTACAACATCCTACCTGGGGTACAACATCCTTCTTGGGGTACAACATCCTACCTGGGGTACAACATCCTACTTGGGGTACAACATCCTACCTGGGGTACAACATCCTTCTTTAAGTACAACATCCTACCTGGGGTACAACAACCTACCTGGGGTACAACAACCTACTTGGGATACAAAATCTCACCTGGGGGTACAACATCCTACATGGGGTACAACATACTACCTGGGGTACAACATCCTACCTGGGGTACAACATCCTACCTAGGTACAGCAACACACCTGGGTACAACATCCTACCTGGAGTACAACATCCTACCAGTGATACAACATCCTATTTGGTGTACAACATCCTACCTGGGGTACAACAACCTACTTGGGATACAAAATCTCACCTGGGGGTACAACATCCTATTTGGGGTACAACATCCTACCTGGGGTACAACAACCTACTTGGGATACAAAATCTCACCTGGGGGTACAACATCCTACATGGGGTACAACATACTACCTGGGGTACAACATCCTAATTGGGGTACAACATCCTACCTAGGTACAGCAACACACCTGGGTACAACATCCTACTTGGGGTACAACATCCTACGAGTGATACAACATCCTACCTGGGGTACCTCAACCTACCCGGGTTATATAAAAACCATCTTACCTGAAGTAGCAGCACCGGTTTTTGCCAGCTCAACTGACGGTTGCAGCTGAGCGTCAGTAGTCCCCGAGCCATCCCCCTCGGCCCCGATGAATGTCACGGGAAAGTCAGTGATCGGGTCAGGCACCCCGGGGGTGGTCGATGCTGAAAAAAAAATCAAATTTAAGGACACTGCAACACTTTTTAAAAAGTGGACTTAAGTTAACATCTATTTCAGAAGTTTTAAAACGTATGTGCTATTATAAATAGGTGTGTGGTGGTTGTGGTATAAGGGGTGGGGGGGGGGGGGGGGGACAAGTTTCTTTTGGATTAAGAGATACTTGAACATCTCGAGTAAACGAAAACCGCATACATGCTCATTACGATAGAGCTAGTATATTTAAAGCTCTATAGGTTAAGATGGTTTTTTTTTTCGTGGATGCAGACCAACTTCAAAGAATACACCTTTTCATGATTTAAAAAGAAATAATTTAAAATACATCAAGTTAAAAAAAAACACGAATTTCAATATTCGAAAAATAGAATTCATATTTTAAAGATATTTTTATATAAAATTTATTTGAATAGTATTTTGATAATAATGTAAATCGACAAATGAAAACCGCGTATATTTGCAAGATGTGATGTGGTGATGGAGGGCCTTCAAGAGGCCAGAAACCCATTTTAATGTTTTTTTTCTTCCTTCACCAAAATGCCAATTTCCGTTTGATATTCCGGAATTCCATAGACCTAGGCGTCGTTTGTTATAGTGCGCGCTGTTTGTTATTGCGCGTACGCAAACAAACAGCTAAACGCGGGCGCACATTTTGGGCCAGAGGAAAACTTACCAAGGGGCGTTAACGCTAATTTCCCCTTTTCCCGTAATTTTCTACGGTTATCGCTAGATGCCCATCCCAACCATTTTTTTTTTTCAAAATATAAAAATCAATTAAAATGATAAAATGACAAAGTAAACTTATTACACAATAATAATCAGAGAAAAAAAAAGAAAATAAATTAGTTTTTGATGAATTAGTTAAATTTGTGGCATATTATTAATGTATGAATTAGCCTGTAATTAGTTTCCGTTTCCATTAATTCACATGAATTCACACAACTTGTGTGTTCAGCACTCAATTTTTCGGCCAAATTCTAAAAAACTAGTTAAAATGGAAATCAACTTAAAGTAATACAATATTTTTAAAGAACAATATAATGATAGCAACACAAAATAACGCAACTCTGTCCTAAAAAAAAATAAAAAAACTAATCGGTTTTAAATTTCTTGATCAATCTTATTCAACGATCAATCTTAATTCACTACGCGTAGACATTTAAATCATTTAAATTAAAAAAAAAATCTGGCATATTTTGACATGGGAAAGGTCACGTGAACTTACACTAGCACAATAACCCAGTGCGGTGAACGGGTATTTATTTGTCGTCTGCGATAGACACCCGGCTTCAAGCGCAGCAGACGACGATCTAATTTTCAAAATTTCCTAGCGATCTAGTTGACCGAACGTGTTATTTTAAATGAAATTTCTTCTTTTTTTTTACATATCGGAAAAAAAAAATCACACGGGACAAAGGGATAACAAAACATGTAAGCAGGAGCCGTAGGTTAGCGTCTGCTTCGTGTTACCCAGTCTGGCAAACTTTTTGTATAAACAAGGTTGGGTTAATTACAAAAATGAGGTCAGGTAATAAAAAAAAAACACGAAACAAAACTTTTTTTTCTTTAACGAAGGTGACAAACAACCTTGAACTTGTTAAACAAAGAAGCCACATAGTGTTAGAGTGTAACCTTCTAAGTGGGATGTATCCAACTTGGGAATTTCAAGACTAGTGCTAGAAGCGTCACATACTGCTAGGAGAGTCCGATTGTACTTGGGGAGTCACATATTCGTGTTTGGAGGGTCGCAGACTGGTGCTAGGGGAGTCGCATACTGGTGTTAGGGAGTCGCATACTGGTGTTAGTGAGTCACAGACTGGTGTTAGGGAGTCACAGACTGGTGTTAGGGAGTCACAGACTGGTGTTAGGGAGTCACAGACTGGTGTTAGAGGAGTCACAGACGTGATACGTGAGTCACAGACTGGTGCTAGGGAAGTCAAACTGGTGCTAGAGGAGTCGCAGAATGGTGCTAGGGGAGTCACAGACTAGTATGTAGGGGTCGCGAAAAGTTTGCAGAATGGTTTATAATTTAGCAGACGGTCAGTGTTTCTCTGACCTGACTAGAGTATCGGAGTTTGTCTTTATATGTATACGTATTGACCACTCAAGACAACTGCGGGTAAATACAAGGGTTAAGCTTTTTAACATTCGGGAGATCCTAATGTAATTTATCATGTGTCACAATCCCAGAACCGCCGACCTACAGACCACACATTTCACCCCACTGTAACCTCTTGCTCTACTAGTCATAATGCTAAATTCCTAAAAAAAAAAACCATTTAACAAACCATATTTCCCGAGACCTTGGTTTTAAAATACACCCCCCCCCCCCCCCCACCAAAAAAAAAACAGAAATAAAAAACAACACCAACTTACAGACAAAATTCCCCACATACACCCCAGATAATAACCACCGACCCAAGGACGAGGGGTTTGATTTACATAACAAGGGACGGAACTAGAACGCGATCATTGTTTCGTGTGGTGGAGGCGGTGATTGGTGAAATGTAAACATTTTGTTTGGTTCATTTGTTTCGGCCGGGATGTAAATGTCACCAGTATGGCAGTCAACCTCAATAGAGGGGAGCGGGGGGGGGGGGGAGGTTTAATGTAGGTTGGTGGTGGGGGATAGTTTTAAAGCAGGCAGTGGGGATAGGTTTACATCAGGTTGGTAGTGTAGGGATAGGTTTAAAGTAGGTTGGTAGTGTAGGGATAGGTTTAAAGAAGGTTGGTAGTGTGGTGATAGGTTTAAAGTAGGTTGGTAGTGTGGTGATAGGTTTAAAGTAGGTTGGTGGTGTGGTGATAGGTTTAATGTAGGTTGGTAGTGTGGTGATAGGTTTAAAGTAGGTTGGTTGTGTCGGGATAGGTTTAAAGTAGGTTGGTGGTGTGGTGATAGGTTTAATGTAGGTTGGTGGTATGGGGTAGGTTTAATGTAGGTTGGTGGTGCGGTGATATGTTTAAAGCAGGCAGTGGGGATAGATTTACATCAGGTGGGTAGTGTAGTGATAGGTTTAAAGTAGGTTGGTAGTGTGGTGGTGATAGGTTTAGTTGTGCAGAAATATGTTCAAAGTCGGGTTGTGCAGGGATCGGCTTAAACAAGAGACGACGACATCAAACAAACACGAGTTTTTGATGACAAGAGAGGGACATGGTGGCATTTTCCTGAAAGGGTGCAAGTCTAAGTGGTTTGTACAATACGGCTAGATCATATTCTAAAGTCATCAACAGTACAAAAACTTGGACGGTATTTCCGTAACGACGTAGTATCGAACTCACGACCTCGAAGGGTGTAAGTCGGTGTGTTATCGAATGGTAAGGTCAGTTCACCCCCCCCCCCCCTCTTATACAGCGTGCGATCTAAGAGTGAAACTGATACGTGTGATAAGGGGAACTCTAGCTCCAACAAGAGATTGAACAGTGAGGGGTAGATGTAAAGAATAGTGAGATTTTGCTTGAAGGAAGGAATAGAGAAGAAGGAATACAGAGTGATTGTATGAACTAAGAAATAGAGTGTATAAGGGAAGGAAAAGAGAATGTAGAGAGAAACTAACAGAGAGTGTTTGAAGTGAAGAATGCAGATATTGTAAAAAGAGAGGAAAAGAAAGATATTATAACAAAAAAAAACAAACAAAAAAACACCAGAGTCGTAGCGTGAGAACGGGGTGGATGGCGTTTCATTAGCGTCACATAGTACACGAATGAATCCCTACAAATAATAAACCATCGCTTTGACCGTTATGACCCGTGAAATTGGAGATTGTCAAAGACTAGGTTCAACCCGTAGAGCGACCGAGAAAACAGTCTCCTATAGACAGATAGTGGAAGAATATCTGAACCCACCTTAAGCTTCCATTGACGATACGCCACTGAGATGGTCAGCACCAGCCCGGGCGATCCATCAACGAGGGTGACAAATAACGAGGGGGGGGGGGGGGACGAGTGAGATAGAAGAGGGGGGTGAGTGGCGTAGTGGGTGGATATGGATTGATACTCTATGCACGCCCGACAACGGCCATTCATCAAAACTAATCTCGCCACAAGAGGCAGGATGAATGAGCCCTTCTCGTCATGACCACTTCCGGTATCCACGGGCATCACGTGATGACGCAATTGAATATTTTCACATTCCGTAATTACGTTTTTTTCTTTGATGGTATATTTTTTTTTAACAAACAACATAACGATAATCCGGTTAAAATAAAAATTAATATTTTTGTCTTCCATAATTGTTACATCTTTTTTTATTTTTACTATGGAGAACTCCGTTACAAGTATCTCCAAATTTCAGATTTTTACAAATATTTTACTAATCGAAGTTTTTACTATTAATAAACGGAAATGTCTTTATAGAATGAGATACTAACAAATTCATCAGTCAAAAGTTATCTTACAATAGACACCCCCCCCTCCCCTAGTTAACTTAACTCTTTAATTGAATGTGTCTAAAGTTAGAATTTAAAATATTTTTCACCACGTATTTCACTGCACTCAAGTATAAACAGTGAGCGCACGAGCAAGTTATTTTAGAGGAATGGCGGCGATCAAAACGATGAAGCTAATTGTAGGTGGAGGGGAATACGGGCTGCCAATTTTTTTTTTCAAAGTGGTTTCATTTGGTATACGAGAATAAATGTAATGGCATTTTAAGTTTGAGTGTGTTAAATTTATACAGCGATAGCCAAGGATAGGGTGTTGCAAAACTGAGAGAGAGAGAGAAAGGGAAGAGAGGAACACTGTTATCTTAGACGGTGCCATAGCTGTCAATGGGGTGTCATTGAAGTCAGTAGGGAGCCATTACAGTCAGTGGAATCAGTGGGTTTACCATTGGAATCAGAGAGGTGCCATTTCAGTCAGTGGGGTGCCAGGGGTGCCATTACAATCAGTGACAGTGTCAATGCAGTCAGTACAATGCAACTTTCGTTATGTCGGCTGTATGTGATGTGATGCTAATAATATGAACGACGATATAGTATATTCATTTTTTTTTAAT